GGTAGAAGGAAGGCAAGATAATAGAGATGAAGATGAAGACAAAGATGAGCGAGGATTAGAGGGGTTTCGCGTGCACTTCGGATTGTGAGGGCGATTGTTACTTCCCGGCTGCCCACACCGTGGAAGTTGGTTGCGTGACCGCAGAGCCCAGGGGACAACTGCTTGAGGCCGGTCACACACGGCCTGTTTTTGTTTGTTCTTTTTTATTTGGTATGTCTCAGTAGCGTATTTATCACTTCTGCCCTGTGACACGGCAGCAGAAAGCGCGGTCGTTGTTAATCCGGGCCCCGACCGATCCGGCATGATATTTTGTGCTTTAATTGAAATCATAGGATTGGATTGGGTAACTGCTTTTAGTCTAACTGCTATCCAAACAACCTTTCTGGCATGGTAGGACCTGCAGGAACATAAGTTCCAGCCAGTATAGCTTGTTGGGTCATTGCAGTGTTCAAGCCCGACCACCACGTCAAGGTAGCAGCCTTCGGTCGGGTTTTGACGAGGGGGACAGCCCTGGACGTACTAATATTGTGCAGCACCGTATTAACACTGGTAGCCACTCACCTGTGCGCCAGCCGCCCAGACGCATCCCTGTTCATTATCAGCCCCAGCTAGAAATGTTGTTACAGGACATGCTAGACAAGAAGATCATCGTACCTTCCTCGTCCCCATGGGCGTCACCTATTGTGTTAGTTAAGAAGAAGGATGGATCTCTCCGTATGTGCATCGACTATCGCAAACTGAACTCTGTGACGAGGCGTGACTCCTTCCCGGTCCCTCGCATTGACTCGACTCTCGACGCACTGAGTGGCTCAAAATGGTTTTCCACGTTAGATTTAGCATCTGGGTACTGGCAAATTGAAGTACACCCGGACGACTGCCCAAAAACTGCCTTCATACTCCCGACTGGGTTGTATGAATTCCGCACCATGCCATTTGGGTTGTGTAATGCCCCCGCCACCTTTCAACGGCTGATGCAGGTTGTACTGGATAGGCTAGTCCCACGCAAATGTTTGATCTATCTTGACGATATCGTTGTCCACGGGAAATCCCCGGAGGAACACATAGACGACCTACGCACTGTTTTCAAACGCTTACGAACTGCTGGCTTAAAGCTGAAACCGTCTAAGTGTACCTTCCTTCAGCAAGAAGTTGTTTTCTTGGGTCACCGCATTTCACCAGACGGCATCCAGACAGATCCAACAAAAACCCGCCTCATTTCTGACTGGCCCGTACCACAGTGTACTAAAGACGTCCGCAGCTTTCTGGGCTTAGCGTCGTACTATCGTCGTTTTGTCCCCGCGTTCGCCACTATAGCGTCACCCCTGCATCGCTTAACGGAACAGGGTCGAAAATTTTTGTGGACTAGTGAGTGCCAAAACGCTTTTAACGAGTTGAAGAAACGTCTCACATCATCACCCATCCTCGCATTCCCTGACACGTCCCCATCCGCTGGCTCCTTCATTTTAGATACTGATGCAAGTGCTACTGCCATTGGCGCTGTCCTCTCTCAAGTGGCGCCTGATGGTCAAGAACGGGTTATTGCCTATGCTAGCCGTAAGCTGGACTAACGTGAAACCCGCTACTCCACGACGCGCCGAGAGATGCTGGCCCTCCTCAAACATTTATGCCATTACCTTCTCGGACGCCCATTTTGAGCACGCACTGACCATCGTGCCCTGCAGTGGCTTCAAACTTTTCGCGAACCCGAAGGCCAGGTCGCTCGCTGGCAGGAGCATTTGCAGGAGTTCGATTTTACCTGTGAATATCGCCCTGGGCCCCGACACGCTAACGCTGATGCCCTCTCCCGTCTGCCGCCTTATGTCTCCCCGGTAAATGCTATACTGAATACAGGCCTAGATGTTGATTAGGCAGCACTGCAGGCGGCTGACGCGGACATCCAACCTGTGTAACCACGTCAACTTCACGGGAACGACAAACCGTCGAGTAAAGAACTACGGAGTCTGTCTGACGCAACCGGATGCATCTGTGGTAAGTGGGGTGTGCTACGCCTGATTGATAACGTCTTGTATGTAGTCGAATCGCCATTGTCACTGCGCCTTATCGTACCACGTCTGAAGGTCCCGGAGGTAATACATCTCGTACACCAGCAGCTTGGCCACGCTGGCCAACGGAAAACCGAACACGCTGTCCGTCAACGCTTTTGGTGGCCACTCCTTTATCACGACGTCACTGAATTCTGCAGAAATTGAGCTACGTGTGCCCAAATTAAGCAGCCTAATCCAGTCTCGCGAGCACCATTGGTTCCGATGTTAACCGAGTGGGGATAGATATTATGGGGCCAGTCACAGCGTCGAGACGTGGTAACCATTACATACTCGTAATGGTAGACTATTTCACCAAGTGGTGCGAGGCTGTTCCCCTGCAACACCAGGATGCCCTGACGATCGGTCGCACCTTCATTGATACGTGGGTGTCTCGTTTTGGTGCCCCCCTTTATCTACACTCTGATCAAGGCACTGCTTTCGAGAGTAACCTCATCGCGCACATCTGTAATACGTTTGCCATTCGGAAAACGCACACGACATCCTACCATCCACAAGGTAATGGGCTGGTGGAACGCGCCAACAGAACCATCAAGAATCTTCTCCGTGCCTTCCTACATAACGCTCCGGAAAACACCTGAGACGACCTCCTGCCCCAGTGCTTGTTGGCTTATCGCTCCTCCGTGCATTCCTCAACGGGTTTTTCTCTAGCTATGATGTTGTTCGGGCGCGAACTCCGTCTACCAGTCGAGATCCAGGCGCCAATGCTACCGTATGAGAGAATCGACTGCATACCCTATGTACGACATCTTCGTCATCACCTGGAGGTAGCATACGGGCTGGCGCGCCGTCATCTCCACTCCTCTTTAGAGCACTAGAAGAGCATCTACGACCGGTTAGCTCGCGGACCCACGTATTCTCTCGGTGATTACGTCTGGCTACATCGACCGTCAGTTCCCGCTGGTTCGTGCCAAAAATTCTACGCGCCATGGCAAGGGCCATACGAGATCGTCCAACACCGACCCCCGACTACGTACATCCTGCGGAATCTACGACGCCCTCAAGACGCTCTCATCTCCGCCCACTACAACCAACTGAAACCGCATCATCCCGCCGCCGCCAAGGCGCCGCCGAACCCCTCCCAACCGCCGCCTGCCGCTAGCTTCGTTGAGGTGCCGTCTGCCGGAGGCACGGCATACCCTATACCACCATCAGGCACTGAGGACAGTGCCCACAGAAGGGTGGAGGCAATGTAATAGGACAAAATCCAGTATAATATCACTAAATAAGTTTTTCTTTTCTTCTTTTGCAGAAACCAATGCTAGCATAAACTCATTGGAACAAGAAGAGGAACGTTTAGCTGGACTTGTTTTAACAGATGATAATTAACTTGTAACCGACTGAGTGCTGGCGGAGGGGTGACGGATGAGATTTACAACCGTATAATGAAGGCTAGGGTGGCATACATCAACTTGTGCCACCTCTGGCACCGTCGCGACGTTAGCCTGGCTGTCAAAGGTCGGGTATACAATGCTTCGGTGCGAGCTGTCTTGCTCTACGCCGGTGAAACCTGGCCTCTCCGAGCTGAGGATGTGCGGCGACTCTGCGTGTTGGATCATCGCTGTCTTCGGAGGATTGCTTGCGTTCGATGGTATCATCGCGTGAGTAATTCGGAGGTTTGGCGGCGTGTGTTTGAACAGAGTGGAGATCACCATTCATCGAGTGTCGTCATCTGGAAACACCAGCTCCAGTGGCTTGGACATGTGGTGTGAATGTCATCCCAGAGGCGTCCGTATAGGTCCCTGTTCGCTAGCCCTGGGAAGGGATGGGAAAGGTGGAGGGGTGGTCAGTCCATGACGTAGCGTCGTGGGATGAAGGATATTTGTGCTAGATTAGCATCGGTTGGTGTGTCACGACTCCCTGGTTGGGGTCCGCGAGATAGCTCGAATCGATGGCTCGAAACGTTATCGGATATGGTCAAGAATCGTAATCAATGGCGAACGTGTTGCAATTTCCTTCTTTCTTCCTTTCCTGATGATAGTTAACGAATACTGTATGAACTTGTTAGGTATGACTTTTCCTTCCGGATGAAGTTCTTTATCCGTTTTCTACCTATATTTTTACTTTTAATCTATGTTGTTTTATTATTATTCTGTGGCGCATCTTTCTTGATGCCATATTTTACCAAGTTTTTCTGCGTTTAAATAATAAATAAATAATAAAATTGACTGGACTCACCTGCTGTCAATCTGAATTACGTGTATTTTCTGTTCTGTCACGATACTAGCTAGAGTTGTTAAGAATCAATGGGCTGACTGAATTTCAGCATAGAACTTTGCACAAAAGTGTAGCAACTCAATTTTTCTTGCTCCATATAGCAAACAATGTTAGGGAGGAAAAACTTCAAAGGGAAGTAGAATGAATATAAATGTACGGGAGGAAGAATAATTACATTGAGACTAATAAGAAGTTGATAGATCTAGAAGTTCATAAGGATTGATTACATACATCTACACGATTGAGAATGATTTTAAGCCGTATCAGCAACAGTCGCCAGCCATTCATCCTTCGAGTGTCGAGGACGCCTACCAGGCAGTCTGCGCCTTTCTCCATGGTTAGCTTAAATTTATAGTCACAGACTTCATGGATTGATTCCAGGTTTTGATTTGACCTAATACAATGTCAGATAACACTGCTCAGCGTCAGAGGAATCAATGAATCAATGGCATTACTTGCGATTGATGACATTAATGACTATAAACATCTTCACTGGTATCCAGATTTTTTTGTCTAGTTATTTTTCATATAATTTGTGTTTAGTTCCTTTCTTCGGTCAGATGTAGGAGTTCGAACTGAACTGAACTTCTGCAGTGTGTTTGTCTTCATAATATTGTTTTCCGTGTTAGTACTTTCACGTCTTCCATAGATTGTTGTAAAGAGTATCTATCCAACAATCAAGTGTCTTAATCACTTGATCATACCTAATTGTGTGATTCTATGCTTTTCTGTTTAGATGATGATAAAAGCAAGCAGTTTAATGTAATGAATATCAAAATATGCAAAAATGTGGAATATTTAGTCAACTTCTATCTCACCTTTCATGCTCTTTATGATCGTGATGATACTGGAATCGAAGAAAAATGTGTATTCACTAAGGAATCTTTCAACTCATGTATTGAGGTAAATTTCTTGTCACTTTCAATAGGCTTTGTAATAGTCATATTTGTTATTCCTTATGGTTGATGTTTTGAAAAAAAACTATAGAAGTTACCTGATTCCTCATTGAATTCAATCAGTGTTAATAGTGAATTTGGCGAATGGTTGAGTTGGTATTGCTTTTGGTGATTTCATTGAAGTAAAACGTCATTTACGGCAAGAGTAAACAATAGACACCAAAGTCAAGTGACCTTGATTCGTTCAGTCAGAGAGCTCAGCATTACAAATAGATGCTAGTCATAATCCCCGTTGCAAGTGTCTCCTAGATTTGATTTTTGACTTCTCTGTGTAAAATGGGCTGATAGTGGGGACTAAAACATGCGTATGTGGAGGGATAATGACTCTGAAAAGTCATTGCCGGGTTACTGATGGTTATGCATTCAGATATAACCATTTTATATGAAGGAGTTTGTAGAAGTTGGTAAGTCGTACATAGTGGTGACTGTTTAGACAATTTCTTCTTGAAATCGAGACTATTCCTTAGTAATATATTGCGTATATGCGACCAGTATCTGCTACAGTTGCAAAAATAGAGAATACATTGGTTTAATGTATGTATAACCAATTCTATGAGAAACTGGGGCCAGTTTTTGCAGCATATTAGAGATATACACCCTATACAATTGCTTTTTTTTCACATATTTATCGTAGGTACACTTTTTTTATAAATGAAGTACCACTTTTCACCTAGAAGAATCTGATGAGCTGTTTCAAGGTCGTCTGAAGTTGATGTCTATTCTTTATTGTCGCCTCATTCACTTTTTCTGCCTAGCTTTATTTTATGATTTTGAGCAGGAATCGCTATGGAGACGAAATTACCTGAAGGTATTTCTCCTGCAGAGTGGAGGTGTTGTATTGTAGCAACAGGAGACAAGGGCCAGGCAACAGATCGTTTATTAAGGAAAATCAACACATATTTATAGATTTTATTGTAGATTATTGTTAGTAGAAAATACAGTCTTTTGATGGTTGTTTCTCACAGAAAGTTAACCTTGCATCTCTTTGTGGCTGTGTCAGATCATCCATATGCTAACTGTATCCGCCTACGCAAAGCCTTTGTTCTCATTTTCTCACCACCAATATTGGGGACATAAACATTGACGTCAATTACTATCTACGGATTTGGCTAGCAGCCAGCTCTCACCACAGTATTACGTTGGCTTAGACACTCCACTTTCAGCCAATAGACCCCGGGTTCGAATCCGACTCCACTTACTTCAGCTTGGGCAGTTGGGTAGTATCATAAACCCCCACACAATAAGTGTGGCTTACAGACCAGTGCTGGGTAAATGAGATCTAACTAACTAACTAAGCCTTCCGTCTGCAGAACATATTGGACCGTTGAATGTATCTGATAGTATTCGTAAAAAAATGGATTATAATATAGTCAAGATTTCAGAAGATTTGTTTATGTACTGAATTAGTTGTGTTCTCTTAGCTGGTTGATTTAATTGCGGAGCTTTCGTTGTCCTTCTAGTACAAAATGAACCTATTTAAATTCTGCATGAATTATATAATTGTATCTCCTGGCAACCACTGTCGTGACTGGTTGTTAATTGACGTCCCCATTGATCATCTTTATTGACTTGGAATTTGAACTTTCTTGTCATATATTGATTTCTTGTTTAAAGATGAACTCTGTGCAAGTGTGTTAAAATTGTTTCTGTAGATATACTTAGTGTCTTTGGGCTGTAAGCAGTTGATGAGAAGCCAAAAAAATATGGTACCATTGTATTCTGCAAAAACTGTTGTTCTTGCTTTATTCAGATTTGCTTTTTATTAGTTGATAAATTTGGTCTATAATAATGTGTTTGTTAATTGCTAATTCACTTGAGCACCAGCCTGTAGGAATTCCTTGGCATTTTGGTGTTTTCTCTGTTTAAAATTTCTACATTATCCCAATCAGATTGGGATATGCACAGATAATAGAAAAAACAACTGCACCATCGAGTTCTTGTGAAGGCTAGAATTGTCATACTTTGTTAAAACAGTTTTTGGACATCATTCACACAATAAATTTAGTAGTATAAATGCATGATGATATTTATATGCTAGTGATTGATTGATATGAGTATCTGGATACCACCTACGCCACCCAATAGTAGTGCTTTCTAACCAGATCAAAATGAACTCAACACCCGATGGCTGTTTCGTTTCAGTAGCGTACACTACTGGTTGATTTGAGTGGCATATCAACCAATCAGTAGCGTTATGTGAAAGAGAGTTACTGATTCGTGGTTGTCATGTAACTTGACCAGACACGACACTATGACCAACTGATAGCTTGAAAAAATTCCTCCCACAAAAGTCAGGTTTAACTTTGATAACAGCGGCAACAATTTGTTATTCAAAATTCAGGTTATGTGTAGTTTAAAAAACCTAGGGAATTCAAGTCGCAAGCAAACAAATAGGTCCGAATGAAATAATAAAGAAGATTTGTAGCTCAGGTGGGTGATTTGCAATTAATAGTGTTCTCTGAGCTGGTTGGTTTAGTTGCGAAGCTTTCGTCGTCCTTCTGGACAACATCTTCAGCGCCATATTTAGCACAAAGTGAAATGATTTAAATTTCTTCATGAGTGATATAATTGCGTCTCCTGGTAACTATCTTTACATATGTATTGACCATTTTCTATTGACTTGGATTTTAAACTTTCTGGTCACCTAATTCGGCCAAAGTGGGCGTCCCCTTCGAATTAGAATCCAAGAACACAAATCAGCCGTGAAAAGACATGATATGTATTCTTTAGTATCAATGCATATAGACAATTATGGACATCAATTTGATTGGGATAATGTCAAAATCTGAGACAGAGGATACACTAAAAGTGCCAGAGAATTCCTAGAAGCCTGGTACTCAAGCGAAAATGCGATTAACAAACACGTTAATATAGATGAAATATACCAATTAATAAGAAGTAAATCAGGTGACCAAAAAGTTTAAAATCCAAGTCAATAGAAAATGGTCAATACATATGTAAAGATAGTTACCAGGAGACGCAGTTATATCACTCATGAAGAAATTTAAATCATTTCACTTTGTGCTAAATATGGCGCTGAAGATGTTGTCCAGAAGGACGACGAAAGCTTCGCAACTAAACCAACCAGCTCAGAGAACACTATTAATTTTAAGTCCGAATGAGTTGTATGGCATCGCAATCGTCGGAAATTGAAGCCAAAAATAAGCCAACTTAAAATCTGTCCAGTCAGATTGTCATGTCACTGCATGCATAGAGCATGACTTCATGGTTAACAACGTTAGGTTGTTCGTTCTAACAAGTAATACATGCCATCATACATTTACGTTTGCCTTCTTGATTGCCATACATTATATTAAGCAGATCACATATTGTGGTGACATTCGACTTTGAAGTCTGCAAGTAATAAATGGTGAATTTAATTCCAAAGTTTAACAGTAAAAAGTTTTAATTGTCATATAAGGTTTTGTTGCAAACCAGGGAGTACTAGACAACTGTTTAGTCCTGGTTTGGGACTTTTTTGCAGTAAGCACCCGCTGGGTTTCGAACCCAGTACCTTCCGGTCACAAGGCAAGACTGGCTACAGGATAAAGTTGCCTGCAATTCTAGTGAGGTGTGTCATAACTAGTGGAGTCAACGTGGTCGGGCGTGACGACAAATACTCACCGGTGACATTGGCTGGTGGTTGGGCTAAAATCGCGAATTGGTAGAAGTTAGCATTCATAGGCTTGCCATTAAATTGGATCCCATTACCTGGATGGTCTCTGTAAATGTTGTAAGAAATGAATAAAATGTCACTAAGCCAGCTATAACTATGAAGGTGATTGTTGACTATGAAGCGAAAAGCATTACTGGTCTCATATTCATACTTATGATTAAGGCTCACTTGTTCATAGTGTAAGTTATAAATTTTCAATGCGTTCATCGTTTTTCCATCATTTATCAGTTATTATCCTTTAGAGTTGAAGTCGATTTTTGTAGACCAGATTTTTATTCTATGTAGTTTGGCTTATTATTACTTTTTACTTTATAAATATCCAGTTTATAGCTGATTTACTAAGCTGGGATCCAGAAGATGCAGGACGTTGTTTACAACAATATGCAATTTGTGCATCAGTTCTTGGCACTGCTACTACTGTTGTTAGGAAACCACTTTCTATTCAATCCTTCCTTAATTCATTCCAGTATGCTTTCGTTACAAATACTGACCGAGAGACTACGTCATCTGATTCATTGGGAAATGATATCCAAGAATCGAAACAATATCCTTTGCCAAGAATTCGTTCAGATAATGCACGCAGAACATTGACAAGAATTGGTTAGTTGCTTAATTTGTTGTTAATTTAGTGAAATGCAGTACTTTATTTTTTCTTGAATTGTTTTTTTATTTTACTGAATTTTCGATAACCATAATTGACATCGAAATTCAGTGTATCTCTAACTTCTAAATTCGAGGAGAATTATATTCTTCCTGTTCTGTTTATAAAAATATGTGGTAATACTGTTTTATTTTGGAGGTTGTGTAACGACAGAAGACGTGGGACAGGCAACAGATCGTTTATTGAGAAAATCAACAGATATTTATAGATTTTTGTGTACATGACTGTAGGTTATTGTTAGCAGAGAAACAGCGTCTTCTGATTGGTTGTTTTCTCACTGGAAGTTAATCTTTCATCTCTTTGTGGCCGTTTCTTTGAGGGTCAGATCATCTATCTGCGAATCGTATCCGCCCACGCAAAGTCTTTGTTTTTGTTTTGCTCATGACCAAGATTTGGGAAGTAAACATTGACGTAAATTGCTGTCTACCAATTTTGGCTAGCAGATAGCTCTCACCACAGTTGTATTGATTGTTGAGAGATTTGAACACCTTGCCCGCTGGATTCGTGTAGAAGTCCTGGAAAACTTTGATTCCAAATCAATCGTGAAAAGAAAGAATGGTGTACGCACCTGTTTTGGTTAGTAGCTCTCACGATATCTTGTTTAAGTTAAATCACTGTTAAACCGTTTGACTTCGATATTCAAATGTTGACAATCTTTGAGGTTCTGTTACCGTTTTCTAATTGTAACACCTTTTTAGGATAACAATTTTTACTGACATTGGATAAAATGAACCGAAAAACAAACATTGGTTTGAATATGTGGATTTTCTTTAGACACTAGTGTTCAACTTCTCATCTTTCCTTTTTATGCTACAATCTAGCATTGGAAGCTCGCTTTCATAACTTCCTAATTTATAAGTGAATTGAATATTGCCAACGTTTCAGTTGGTATGTTCTAAAATTCTATTTATATCTTGTGTTTTTAAGTACTGTGAATATGTCATTTAGATAGCTTCATGCTTTGGGGGTGGGGTTAAACGTTTCAATCGTTCTCACACCTATCTGTGAATATATTTGCCACTATTGGGGCTATTGTTGATCCTATGACAGTCCCCCTCAGTTTGTTTGTATATTTTCCCTTGGGATTCTCTTGGAATTCACTGTGTCTGGTAAAGAAATTAATATAGAATCACATACTGCCACAGTACCCAAGTTTCAAAAATTAGTTTGTACCTCTCTCGTATTGTTTTGTTAAATGACTCTATACGGACAAGAAAGGATTCTAATACTCGTGGATACTTCTTCATAGTTTTAGCTGAAATCATTACTGACTCTTGTCTTCATGTATGAAATGTAAGAGTCTTATCAAAGGGTATCAACTTTGCTGCAAAATGTTAAAAGCTTAAATGTGATTATATCAGTGGGTGATTTTATTGCCCAACTACGGCTGTAAGTCATTACTGTTCTCAAAATATACAGACTGACAGGTTAAGGAAATTAGAAGAAAAATGCTCATAGGAACATTAATACAATTCCAAATCGTGGTTGAGTTATTCAAATCGTGTAAAATGGAGTAAACAGGTGCCACTTTGTACGGTGTAAAATTTGGCATCTTATTTATTTAACCACAAAGGGTTGGTAAGCCCATTACTTGAAATTGCTATATTTTGTAGTAAGTGTAATATAAAGCATAATCTTATTATTTATTCCCTTGGGAACATAGGGCTTTAACAACATATCTCCACTTTGTTCTTTTTTCTGCCGTCCTCTTCAGCTGGCTCCACGATTGCCCATGATCTCTCATCTCTTCCTCTCACTATCTTTTCCATGTCACCCTTGGACGACACTTCCGATTCAAGTTCACTCGAGGATTTGCCTGGTGCGCGATGTCACTTGATGGTTTCCTCAATGGATGCCCGATCCATCTTTTTTTTCTCCTACATGTTTGTTGAACTATCGGCTCCTGGTTAGTTTGTTGCCAGAGTTTCTTGTTACTTATTCTTTCTGGCCAACCATTTGATTTCCAGTATGGATCCAGCGAAGAGGGCAGCTGTTGATGAAAGTCTGCAAACTGTTGGAAATCCTTTTCGTTGTACTCCAAGTTTCTGACCCGTATAGGAGGGCTGGCTTCACATTTGTATTGAATAGAATCTGAATCTTGTTCTTTAGGCTGGATTTTGAGTGCAGAAGATTTCCAAACTGGTTTCAGGTTGATGAAGGCCTATCTTACCTTTCCGATTCTAACTGGCTTTGACATCTTCATCCTTGCCATCCGCCTGTAGTTGAAACGATGTTTCCTAGATAAGTGAAGGAGGTAACCTCTATTGAATCTCTCCTGTTGATAGTGATTGGTGCTGGTTGTTGTTGCTGTTGGTGATGGTCGGTTATCCTCATCACACCCGTCTTCCCCTTCTCTATGTTCACCTGGTGTCTCGTCTTTACTGCCAGGCTCTTCAGTCAATTTGTTGGTTTCCTCCTGTAAGTCTTCGAGTTTATGTGACATTAGACATATATCATCCACACGCGAAATCCAGATCTTCTAGAGTCTTCTTATCGGTCGTCCAGCGTATTCCTGACTCCTCGCTCCCCACAGTCTGATGCATAATCCAGTCCACCACAATTAAGAATATCATCGGTGATAATAGGCAGCCTTGTCTTACTCCTGTGTGCACTTCGAACGCCTCGCTGGGTTTTCCGTTGTGGATCACCTGACATGTGCCACTGTCATGTAGCTGTTGAATGAAGTGGATAAAGACTTGGTCACTGCACGCCGTAGTGTTGAATTAGTTTCAAAATGACTTTGTGGTCACCGCTGTCGAAGGACTTTTGGGAGTCGATGAAGTTGAGGTTTGACTGCCATTCTATGCTTTGTCCTGTGATGACGACGCGTAGAGTTGCAATTTAATTAGCACATGATTTGCCTTTCCTGAATGCAGCTTGTTCCGTGTTGGCGGAGTTCTGCATCCAGTGCATCCTTTATTCTCTCCAGGATGATGTGACTTAGTATTTTACGCAGAACACTAGACAGTGCTGAAAACACATCTTACTTTTTTAGTTAAAAGCATCTTAAAAATTTCTAATTGTTACTTCCTATTGTTTTTATCCCATTTTAGGATGTGTCATTTTTGAACCATATATAAATGGCCTGCAAACATTCGACTCCTTACAGAAGATCGTTGATTCTTCTAATTTGGATCCAATATTACTTTTGGTATGGTTTGTTTTATTTACCCTTCGCTTACTTTAGTTTTTGATATTTGTATGTTATACTACTTTCATTTGTAATACTGCATCATTATTTTCTCTTTTTGTAAAAGCATGACTAATAGCGACGGGTAGATTAGTTGTATAAAACTGTAAGTTACACAGATAACTCTATGAGATAGGGATGAATGTAAGTGATGAGTCCCAGTTTACTGACACTCTAAAAGCTCCTGTTCAGTTTTTGTTTGCTGGTGGATATGACAGCTAGTCTATGCGGTAGGGGACTAAATTTCTACTGTCAGTGGTGTTCAATCAAGGAAATAAACACAGTTGAGTCTTCACCAAACAAAGTGCTAGATGTCTAGTACTAATTACTAACTAGTGTCCAATCAAGGTATCCAAAACAGTTCCACTGGAGGTCAATCGTGAACCCTAATAGCTCAGTGTTAATGTCCCTTACTGCAGCGTTGGTTGGTGATGTGGGCTCGAATCTCACGAGAGACATGAGTTCCTTCAAGATTACAGATACGCCTTGGTGACTGGTGAGTGCCAACAAGCATGAAACCTAGGTCGAAGGCTTCCCGCCGATTGCCTCCATCCACGTAATAACAGTTGGTAATACATATTATATTATCGGACACATTTGATAAACTGATTGGAAAAGAAACCGGTAGGTAACTGAATCGACTAAAACCTTTCTAGTTAAGTGTCTTAGCAAATAATATAAGTTGTACTTTTAAAATACTCAGTTTTCTCACTGAATGTTCTTCTGTCTCTTTCTGATTTAAATTTGCAAGCCATAGATGCTTTTATCATCGATTTAGCATTATGCATGTGTATGTCTTTGGCGTGTTTGTTTTTATTCCTTTACGTTCCAAGTGGAACATATGGCTCCAAGCTTTGAATTTTCAGTAGCAGTGATGTTTATGTTTTATGGGGTGCGGTTGATAGTATCACGCCCAACCTTCCCTCTTTCCTGGGCTTACTACGAGCTGGTCGAGGTTTAGGAGTACGTCGACTGGAGGTCGAACCCATGGCCACGTGGTTGGCTGGCTAGCGTTCGTGCTACTGACGATAATTTGTAAGTAGTATATCATATGATGTCCTCTGCAAAAATTCTAAACGTAGAAGCCAAAGATGAAGTGTGAAACAAGAGAAATGTAGGAAAGCGTGAATCAGTGTAGAAATGAAGAGGAAAAGGCAGAATACGAATACTTTGTGCAAACTGAATTGTCTGTATAAGGTTATTTACCGTTGGAACTCTTACATCTCAAGATTTGTTTTACACATAAGATTATTTCAATGACCCTGCTTCACTGCCTTGACCTCACTACTCAACTCAACACATGGTTTTTTGTTGTTTTCTTTACTGTTTTTGAATTCTTAATAGTTTTCCTTCGTCTTGTTTATACTAAATGAGGACAAGTACTTAAATTTGCCAATTTTAATTGATCGGATGCATCATATATTCTGTTATATGCTGTATAGAATTCTTCTTGAACTATTATCATCATCATCATCCTCAGGAGGAGAGAACAAAGAAGAAGAGGAAGAGGAAGAAGGAGGAGAGGAAGAAAGAGGGAGTAAAAAAGGGGAACGGAAAGAAAAAGATAAAATTCCTGAAGAATATTTTTATGAATTTCTTGATATTAAAAATAAGAAATCCACTTCATCGTGCAAAAAATTTGAATTAATATGCAAGCAAATTTATGCGTATTGTTCAAGCAGTTGCCATTTATCCTCAGCCTATTTGATTGCATTGCTAATGCGTTGTATATTGTTTCAAATATGGCAAACATTTGAATCAGAAGAGAATATTCTGGAAGTGTTATTCAAGTGTATGCAAGTAGGTTATCGTAAATATTTATTTTTGTATGTATTCATTTCCTTAATGATCAGCTTTATTCGATGAATTTTATCTGTGTGTGTGTATATGAAAAGGTTAGCCGTTTCCGATCATAGGTGACTGCGCTCTATCTCCCATGTTGTGGATGGTATAATAGAGTGAGAGATATTGAGGTTAGGTGAGGAGTGAAAGTCAATCGATGCAGTTATGAAGTTACATCGATTGAGATGGTTAGGACATATGTTACGCATGCCTGCCTAGCCATCGATCACCTTCCTGGACAGGCAATGTTAACTGACGTAGGGTCAGGCTGGAAATGGACTAATGATGGTCAAACCAAAACTTGGAATCAGTTCATGAAATCTTTGACCGTTTGTTCGAGCCACTTTGGGAGCTGTAGGCTTCCTGGTTTGTATTCTTCAGGATTTTTAAAACCATTGACTGGCTCAAAATTGTTCTCAATGGTGCAGATGCATTTACTCTTTGTGAATCTGTCATATCCAGACTGATTTCAGAGTAATGAAGTGAAGGTATACCTTGCCTTTCCTGTCTTGGCTTTGACAACTTCATTCGTACTTCTGCCTGTAGTTGAAACGATGCTTCCTAGATAAGTGAACGGAGTAACCTCTTTCAAATATCTTCCGTTGATAGGAATTGGTGCTGTTTGTTGTCGTTGTTGGTTGGTTACCTTCATCACCTCCGTGTTCGCTATGTTCACTTGAAGTTCTGTCTTTGCTGCTTCTTCTTCTGCCAGTTTGTTGGTTTTCACCTGGAAGTCTCGGAATTTACGTGACATTAGACGTAGGTCATCCTCAAAATCCAAATCCTTAATGCTAAATACCATTTATAAACCATACAGTTGTCGAAATGAATTGCGTACTTCTCTGTTTTTGGTGTGGTTGTGTTCTCTGAGCTGGATGGTTTGGTTGCGAAGCTTTCATTGCTCTACTGAGCAACATCTTCAGCGCATACTTCGATGTGCGCTGAAGATGTTGCTCAGTAGAGCAATGAAAGCTTCGCAACCAAACCATCCAGCTCAGAGAACACAACCACACCAAAATCATCCACCTGAGCTACAAATCTTCTCTAGTACTTCTCTGTCGAAAAAATTACTCTTAAAAAATTCTATTTCTCCTATTGAATTATAGTTAACTTTAACTGAGGCATTTCGGTCAGTTTATTAGACAGACAAACTATAATGTAGTCTGCTTACTAATGATTCACGTTCGTATTCTTATTTGGTGTCAACAATTTACAGTCTTAGATATCAATGTGATGTTAAGGAACGAACAGTGACTTATAGTAGGTAGGACGAAAACAGCTGTCTTATCACTGTATGCAGGACGGAATCAGAACTGATGTTTTCAACGTGGAAATCTGGTTCATTGGCGTAAGCACACTGAACTGAACCAACGGATCTCAGATTCCAATCCCACTTCACTTACTTCAGCCTGAGTAGTATCATCAGCCCTAAGGCAGTAAACGTGCGACTTTTAGCCTGAAACGTAAAAAAGATCATGTTCACAGGAACTAGGTGTTACGACCAAAAGTGACTCGTAGTCTGGAGGCAGGAAATCGATCTGTGTCCTTCAGAGACAGACACACATTCCAGAAATACTCCAGATACATGAAAAAGAAGATTAGTCGCTTCTGGAACCTGTTGTCCTATTCAACAATAATAACATCCAAAACATAAGGTTACCTCAACATTGCCGTTAGGCAGCTATACGGTCAAGGCTATTTTCTTAGTATAAAAGAAGTACTTAGAATAAAGTAGAATATTCCTAGCGTTGTGGGATGAAAAAGTCTGTCCACAAGAATCACACACCAACACTTCCCGCAGACAGACCAAGGTTAGATTGATGTCGAATCACTCGAACAAGATCACATTATTAATGTCGACGCAACGACAAAGAGTAGCATGAAAACGAGAGATTAAACAGTGAGAAAGCGCAAATAATAAGGACCAAGTCAACATATGATGATATTGGAGATGTCAGGAGAATGATAAAGAGTCTGTGAGAAAAAACGGATAATGATTATAAAGTAGATGAAACATAGAAATGAGTATAAATATTTTAATTGAATCATTCAGAAGGGGATTTCCCAAACAGTTATTCCGTTACATCGGTAACACTGATGAAAAGCTCAGCACCTAATATTCAATCATGAACTTAAGGATTTGCCTAACGACCAAATGATGCTATTACCATCTGTTGTGTGTGTTATTTTGTAAAAATTCTCATACGTATAAACTTTTGAATTTATTACTTTAACTGCAATATCCTCTTTTCTTAAATTCATCTGTTTGATTTTTTTTACAGCATCCTGAATTCACAGTCAATGATTCTTCTGACAGTGGAGCTGAAATTGAAATTGATAATTCTGTTAGTCAATCAATTGAATTCAAAATACCTTCGAAAGTATCAACAAAATGGAATGCTGACTTTATACCAAATTTACAACATCTTGTTGATAAATGGCATCAAACCTGTGCTCAGTTGGAAGGTGTTCTATCGATTGGATTAGTGTTGTTATGTCCAGTGTCCAACAAATCAAAAGAGACAACACCGCAGCGCACTTTTGATTTCAATTTACAATGCGTATTGACTAATGGTCGTTGTAAGTGTGAGATTTCTCTCTTCCTCTGGTACTGCATGAAACATTTCTTCATTTGTGTAAGAATAGAAGTTAGGGACTGTAGTAATGTATAGTATGATAGAGTAATTCATTTGACGTAGTAGCATAGTTAGCTGGTTAAATCTAAATTGCCTAGCATTCGCTTATAAGTCACACGTATTGTATAAGGGCCAATAATACTACCCAGTTGCCTGGGCTGAAGTAGCCAGGGTGGGACTCGAACCCAGGACTGGGGTGATTATATACCGATGATAATAATAGTATTAAATAACACTGTAACACTGTGTGACATATCATATAAATGTGCCTATAAAGTTCGTGACTGCCCCTTTTCTTTACTCCACCGCTGTTTGAAACTTTTATACAATTGCTAAATGATATGAATGTTTTAAATCTGAATACGACTCAATGATTCTGCTGTGGGTGGTCACATTTGATGCTTGAGTGAGTTCTTACGAAATATATGGAGTCAATACGCCTCAATTATTCACAAAATAATAGAAGTGGAATAATCGAGAGTATCTTTCATCTGTGATCAATAACAAGCGTCTAGCGGATTGGTGTTTAGTCTCAGAGAGTATCTACTTTATGTAGCTAAATCAATAGAACTAAGTTCTCATCCTAGTTGATCGAACCATTGTTATTATTGTTCAAATGAATTTAATAGTGGATTGATAGGATTGATCGAGGCGATACCAGTGGCGTCAAAGTCTTCAGTGGTATTCTAGTCATGTTAACTGGTGTCTTGCTTAAATCACTGGGCTACTTAAATTTCCATCAGGTATAATGTTGCATAAACTCTTCTTCATTTCTTCTTATTGTTTTAATCGTCTAACTGTGTGTTTTGGATCTCTACATGAACCCGCACACAGTTTTACTCTGGTGTAATGTAGAATACTTCTCAACAGTGTTGAGGAAAAAATATCGCAGAGATTTGATATAGCTTCAGATGGGATAACATGGCATCACATAATGTACTACCGAATACCATTTTTTTCAAGTATCCGCTTTTGTAGGGATTTTGTTTGATTGGATGGAGGATTTCATCATAAGCTGGCATTAGTTAGAAAACCATTGGAAAACCTGGGAGTACTGGACAGCTGTTTCGTCCTAGTTTGGTCTACGAGCTCGCCTTGTAACCAGAAGGTCCTGGGTTTGAACCCCGGGGGGCACATACTGATGAAGAGTCCCAAACTAGGCTGACGAGACAGCTGGCCAGTACTCGCAGGTTTTCCAATGGTTCTTTAGCTGATTTCAGCTCATGATGAAGTCCTCCAATGAACACCATTTTCCCTGAAGATCTCGTACGTAGAGTAGGTGTTTGGCAGTTTAAATATGCTGAAAATTCTGTACTATGCATTAACATATTGTTTAGAATAAAACTATTATTATTATTATTATTATTATTATTATTATTATTATTATTAAAAAGTATCAGTTTAAAAGACATTACTGGTTTACGGTTTATATCCAACTATGCAATGACTATGATCAATCGAAGAATAATCTTATTAAAAAATTTTTCTTTAACTTATGTAAAACTGTGGAATGTGCTACTGACAAGAATTTATAAGTAGTATGCTGTGTGATGCTAGAACACTGAAAGGTGTGGAGAGACGGATTAAACTGTTAACAAGATAATCAATGAAAGTTGTGAACCAATGCTGGAAGCATGAATTAATTACAAATAATAATAATAGTTTGCTTTATTCCAAAAACAGTAATTGTGATACAGTGTGGTATTCTCAGGATCTAGTACAATATCGCATCTAATTTACTCGACAGCAGTAAAAACAAAACAAGAAGCATAATATTTCAGTGCATATGTAATGTAACCGGGACTGATAATAGGAGCTTTTTATTATTAGCAGTGACAATGTATTATAACTCCGTTACCAGTTTGTTATAGCTGAACTGAATAGACCCGTTGTTATTTTGTTATGACTGTGCCTGTTAATTACTATAACGGTAATGAACTCAACTGATTTGCTAATACGTCTGCTTGTCTGTTGTACCTTCCGAATCACTGACCCACGCAAATATCAAAAAGACAAAATCTGTCCTGTGACTGTGAGATATTGTATTATGTACTATACTACATAGTTTAAGAAACAACATATGTATACATTTTCTTAACCATAATAAAGTCGACTCACGACTGTGGGAATTAATTGTTCTTATTGGTTGGATATGTCTATCCTGATAGTTTGGTGATCAGATAAAGATCAATTTGAGACAAAAGGAGATGAATTAGTCATACGCTAAATCACAATATGCATGAGAAATGATGCATTGGCATAGTTACTCCATCACATGATAAATCACACGATTCATGGGAAAGGATGATATGCTATTTTATGCTGGGACCTATCACAATGATGTCAAAAATATAGAAAAAGTGTAAAATAATGATAATAGCCGAAATAATAGGTTAATTGAAATGGTGTTAACATAAATTACAAAAAGGAGAAGATAAAAGAGTCATTATTTATTTTGCTAATTACATAGTAAATTATAAGTTTCACGCTTAACACTTTCTCTATCGCATAGAACGCAAGCCAAACTGGGTGTGGTCGGGGTTTTGTGCTTAGGTTTGCGAACATATGATCACTTTATAATGAATTTTAGTTCTACCTGATGAGATGGAAGGTGAGAGTTGTGAATAAAGAGGGTGCTGAGAGTCAGACACTATAAATTTTAACCCGTTTCTCTCATGATTCAGATATCTATCGACTACAACAGTAACGGGTTAACTTCGTGTCACACCACTTACCTAACTGACAACTTTTAGTACTCTTCGCACTATGACAAATTCCCTTTGGAGTAGTCCAGGAAGGACTAAAGAGGAGCAGTAAAGTACAATAGGTAAGATGCAAGAGTTAACAAATTGTAAAAGTAGAGGTTGAGTGATTGGTCACTGTCTTGGTTTCTTAATGTAGAAAGCAAAACATGAATACACTGTACAAACTGAAGTTTCAGTGTACTATTGTTATCTGTTTGATGGTGATTAGTGATGGAATCCAAGATGTGCATTTCGTCCTATTGGGGGGTCGTCAGCTTGATGCACTTGCATTACCCAGTGAGTGTTGGTGTTCTCACTGAGACCCGAACACAGTACCCACGATTTCAAACGCCAAAGCGTTATCCCTTAGAACACTTGGGTCACGAGAGCCACTTCCTGTGCGATGGGTGTCAGTTATTACTTTCTTTTTAATTCACTTTGATTTTCCTGTCAGCTGACTGGACCTAAATGTTCCGCCGCACTAGGAGACGACATATCAACAAAGGTCGAACATTTTGGTCCAATCAATTAACTGGAAAGTCATAAATGAGTTATAAACAACGTAATACTGTTATATTCCGTCTTTAATACTGCGCCCTGCTACCAAACACTAATGACTCAAAGATACGGATTTGTTATGAATTTGTAGCTACGTCATCTGATGCCTTTCCACCAAAAGTGTTGTAATGTCTGTCTGTCTATCTACAATATGTGGTTGGTAGCTTCTGATTTGTGAATTGTTCACTGGTCAATTTGTGGGGATTTGATTCGTTTCAAGTTCGACCACGGATCGATATCAGTTAGAGAATTACTGAAAACCAGGGGAGTACTGCACAGCTGTTTTATTCTAGTTTAGAACTCATCAACAGCACACACCCGCCGTCGGGGTTAGAATCCGGGACCTTACAGTTACAAGGCAAGCTAGGACGAAACAGAGTTGTCTAGTACTCCCTGGTTTCCAATGGTTATCTAACGGATATATATATATATATATATATATATATATATATCCGTCTGTCAGTCAAACTTGATACATGAATTTTTTTCTCTTTATGCGTTGACTGATATTTACTACTTCGAAATCTCTCTCTCTATTTGTGTCCATTTTCTGTTTCATTTTCTTTTGTTGTTGTGTGATATGGGACAACGTATACTAATATGTATGTATTTGTGTTCAGAATGATATTTTCAATGTGTGCGCGCTTGCAGCTGTCATATAGTTACCGATTTGTATTCAGTAAACACTTACCAAAATGTCCTTTACTGTTTCCATGAAATACCAATGCATGAATAGTTGTTTCTGTCATTTGTTTCCTGTTTTTTTTTTAAAATTTTCTTATCATAGCCTACTTAACAGCTTTATTCGCATCATGGATTGTAAAGAATAATATATCGCCTGAACAAGTTCTCAGTTTCTATCAAGGATTATGCACAAAATCATTGATAAGTGAAGATTGTAGTGGTACAAGAGATTTAGCCATTATGGATCCGGTCCACCTTAGACAAGGTATGTAAAAAATACTCTTATATGATATATGTATGTGTGGGAGTTGACAGGATTATGTCATCAAGGAAATAGTTAGTGAAAAGACTATTGGGAATTTTGGGTATTTGTGACATTAGCAAAGGGTATTTTATTTTGCTGTCATGTTGTATTATGTTAACATTATGTATTCGCTTTCTATGTAACTCTGTGTATTTTGCCTCTTAACTATGCTGTCTTTCTCTTCCCTTTTTTATATGATACTTTTAAGTATTCCGTTGGTGGGTTTAACAGGGATGCGTTGATTGTTATTCACTATTGAGAGTTGAAATGCACTAGATAGTTTTTTTATTATCCTGGTTTAACATTTTCATACAGCCAAATAATTTCACAGCTGCGTATATGATCATATTCAAGCTTGTCAATTTTTATGCGTTTTATGGTATAAGTCATTAGGGTAAAATTTAGTATTTTATATTCTTAACTTTCGTGAGTTCACATTTTAACTTTGTCATTTAGTAAATATCTGTTCTAACTCCTGACTTGATTTTTGCCTCACTTCTTGCCTCATGAGTGGAACACGGAGGGATTCAAACCATATTCTCCAGCAGATAGTTAATCCAGTCTAACATTAAGGATAAGATACCGCTTTTGGCCACTTCAATGTGTATTTATCAGTTTACTTGCTGGTGTGGAGCAAAGTAAATCAGCCGTACGCAAAGTCAAGTCAGCAAACATATTCTGGAACACTGTCCAGCCTGGCTAGCCATAGGAGAAAAGAAGAATAGTAGCAGCTCCATCCTCGAACACCTTGTCAACTCTGGACATCGAGCACCCTCTCATGAATGCTTCACAGTGCTACACAGAGTCCCACAATATCGTACAAAGGGACTTCTCATACGCCATCTGCACACAGCTGTAGCATTACCTATTCGGGATCTGAAAGCGGACCTATGCATTCAAGAGCAATGCATACATTCACTCACCCTACCGAGGCCAGAGTGACGTTCTTACTATGATTTCGGTTTTTTTATTATCTTATGAAAATGAATCGTCGAAAAGAAAATTTCCTTCGCTGTTTCTGTTTTTTTCTTATAACTCAAACCATATTCTTTGAAGTTTCAGTGACTGTGTGGTATTGCTCGTACGGGGTAGAGTTTCTAGCCTTACATCTTCCACCTTCTCTCTTTTCCGAGATTTAGGAGTACTTTGTCTGGGAATGAAACCCCAGGCCTCCTACATGGCTGGCGAGCAGCATTCTACTTTTAAACTACCAACGCAACTCTTGACTAGATGAATTCTTAAATTTACAAATTTCCATTACTTTTCTTTTGATATCTGTCCAAAACTTAATAAATAGTGTGGATATAATTATAATTTTAATGTCGATCTCGTCAGGAAACAACGCTAGTTAGAGATCCTAGTTTGGGACGTTTCAGAAGTGCGCACTAACGATCCCATCAGGAATCGGAACCGGGATCTTCAGGTTCCGAGGCCCAGCTCGCTGATTACTCCTCCACTTATGATTCAGTGTCAATAGTATTCTACAAATTATAAGAAATCGTGACCAGTGGAGTCCACCAAGTTGGGCGTGAGGAAAAATACTTACCGATGACTTTGGCTGGCGGTCATGATGCATACTGCAAATTGACAGAAATTAGAATTAATAGGTCGCTGAATTCCATTCTAGTGGCTGAACGGTCAGTGGGCTCGTCTCGTAACCTGAAGATCCTGAATTCAATCCTCCGTTGAGTTATGGGTGCTGAAGAGTCCCAGACTTGGACGAAACAGCTATCCAGTACTCTCTTTTTTTCAGTGGTTCCCTAACTGAAGTCGTTTCGTGATCAGACTCGAAAACATAAAAGAGCATGTGTATAACAGAATTTTCAGATGTCCATAATTTGTATTGTCATTTGAATTTTTAGTGCTTTTTTTAAATTTATAATCTCTCATACCTCAGTAGTTTTTTCATTTATACAAATAAATCATCTTCTTACTTACAGTTGTGTTTTTAAAATTCTTCTTTTCAGTGATATTTTCACTAGCCTATAAGCGTCTACCTTTCACACTGGAATTAGATACAGTTTTATCGACTGTTTGTTGGACTCACTTTCAAATTTGGCGGGAGAAACCTGAGGTAAGTGTGTGCTAGTGGATGGCAATCTATCGTTTCTATCACATAATGATGAATTATGTTGCACATATTAGAATAATGAAACAAAACATGTTGTTGGATGGAAAACTAGTTCATGTAATAACGTGGTATGAACACAATGTATTGTTCATGATCATTATTATGTAATTGTTTTACGATTGGGAAAAAGGTTTCTAAAAATGTTTATTTTATGCCTTGCATTTTGAATATATCGTCGACACAAACTTTAATTTCTAAGTTTTTTTTCTCGAATGAATGGTTCTTTTGACGGAGCTATCCTCTCTTCTCGTTAGTAGGACGTCGAGGAAGTGTAGAGAGTCGTTGCATTCTCCTGTTTCATTTCACATATTCGTTATTTCATTATGAACCTCTCATTGCAGTCTTACTATCTCCTGTTTAACACAGACCACTTTGTACTAGCCACTCACCTGACACCTTTTATAACCTTGAACTGACTTGCAATTTTCCTACCTCACACTCTACAAATCTATTATAATTAATCACCATTGTCTCCCGTTTTACAATATTTTGTAATCGAATTCAGCCTAGCACGTTTGTCACACAAATACGACTATTTATTTTGACACTCAATAACTGCTAATCTGTTATTCTACGTTAAAAATGTATCTGCCGCATAACTGGCCTTTATTGTAACGACAACAAATATTATATTTTATAATTGTAAGAACCTGAAGAGAAATTATTGAAAAGAATATTCTTCGTTCAGATCGACTTTTAATAATAACATCAAAAACTGAAAATTGTCAGAACAGGATCGTTAAGCAGTTGTACAGAGAATGTATGTTTCTAAGTACAAAAGAAGTATTGTAGAATAAAATTAGCTAACCAAAATGCTAGCAAGTAGGATATCTCCAATGAGGTGGGATCAAAAACTCTGTCCACAAGAATCATAGAGACAGTACAAAGTCAGAATGATGTCGAATCACTCAAACAAAATCACATTATTAATGTTGACGCAACGACAAAGAGTAGCATTAAAAGGAGAGATTAAACAGTGAGAAAGCGCAAATCATAAGGATCAAGTGAACACATGATGATATTGCAGCTGTCAGGAGAATGATAAAGAGTCTGTGAGGAAAAACGGATAATGATTATAAAGTTAGTTGAAACATCCAAATAAGCATAAATATTGTAATTCATTCGTTCAGGAGGGATTTGCCAAATAGTTTTCCCGTTACAATGAGGGCAACACGACCGTTTTGTTGTTTCTTGATTTATAATAGCTCTCTAGCTAACTAGTCATCATTTTTGATAGAAATGATATTTAAATTCTGTGTTGGATTCTTGATCAAAAAGAAAGGCAAGTCTTCCTTTTCATTTTCTTTTCATTACAGGATATAAATAATTTGATTTATTGCTTAGAGTTTCTCAAGAAATTCAGTTCAGCTGGGGCAATGATTGCTCAAGGTTTAGGAACAATAATGTGGCGAACAGGTCTTATGGATTGGCTTAAACCTATTCTTGAAGTTGCAAGAGGCGATAAAAGAGTAAGTTCTTATTTTTTTAAAACAACCCCTTTGTTATTACATAAGATTTATGGTCAAAGTTCACGACAGATTTCAAGTTAACATCGTAGACAGAATTCAGTAAACTTAGAATAATCATTATTCAAAGTGAAAGGGATTTTACACCTAGATTTATTTGCCCTTCTCATTATGACTCACATGGGACTATCGTGACTCGCAACTATTCCTAGATTGCAATATCGGCTACCATAAGGAACGAGACTTGTAGGTTGTAGGAGAAAGACAGAAACTTTGAATAAATTGTGTGGTAAAAAAGCGAATGATACGAACATATTAATGCTTGTTATTATGGGTGACATTATTATTATTGTTCCCTTGGGTTCCTAGTGGAACATAGGGCTTCAACTGCACGTCTCCACTTGCTTCTGTCTTGTGCTGTACTTTTCACCTGCATCCATGTTAGCCCACAATGTTTCAACTCCTCTTCACACGATCTCCTCCATGTCACCCTTGAACGTCCCACTCATCCCTTCCCTTTCGGGTTCCACTCGAGCACTGGCCTGACGCGCAATGTGACCCAGTGGCCTCCTCAGCGAGTATCCGATCCATCTCCACTTCCTCCTGCATATTTGTTGGGCGATTGGTTCTTGTTTTGTTTGTCCCCATAGTTTCTTGTTTGTGATTCTTCCCGGCCATCTGATCTTGAGTATAGAACAAAGACAGCTGTTGATAAAGGTCTGCAACCTGTTGGAAATATTCTTTGTAATCCGCCAAGTTTCTGATCCGTATAGAAGAACTGACTGACTTGACGTTTGTATTGAAAATCCGAATTTTGTTGTTGATGCTGAGTGAATGACGAAGATTTCCGGATTGGTTTCAGGTTGATGAATGTGTTTCTCGCCTTCCCGACTTTCGATTTGACATCCTCGTCTGTTCCTCCTGTAGTTGAGACAATGCTCCCTAGATAAGTGAAATAAGTAACCTCTTTCAAATTCCTCCCGTTGATGGTGATTGGCACTGGATGTTACTGTTGTTGTTGTTTTTGGTTGGTTATTTTCATAACCTGCGTCTTGTCTATGTTCACCTGAAGTCCTGTCTTCTCTGGCTGCTTCTTCGACCAGTTTGTCGGTTTTCGCTTGTAAGTTTTCGATTTTGTGTGACATCAAACATAAATCATCCGAGAAACCCAGGTCTTCTAGGTTCTTCACTTCGGTTCAGGATATCCCTCTCTAATCATTTCCCACTGTCTGACGCATAATCCAGTCCACCACAATTAGGAATATCATTGGTGATAATAAGCACCCTTGTCTGACTCCTGTGTTTACTCCAAACACCTCTGAGTTTTCCGTTGTGGATCACTTGACATGTGCCGTTGTCATTAGCTGAATACATTTATATCATCAACGTATATGTCAACTGAGAAGTTTTATTTTGTGATAGAGAACTCCACTTGTTGCTAAGTAGAATTATTCATCTGTTTTTTATTTACTCAGTACAACGAATACGCCTCATTGTAAAGGAATTCTCGATAAGAAACAGTTCAACAACAGAAAAATACTTAAAACATGTAGCACTATGTGGCTATTATTTCCGATAATGTCATAAAGTTCATGTTTAAACTATTTGATTGACATTAAATTTATTTACAACATTGTCTAACTACCTCCCAGCTCCATTGCCATACACAGTCATATTTGTGTAAATTAATTGGTTTGTGTAGGGGACTGACACGTAAGGTAACTCAGCTTTTAGTCAGTGAGTTAGGGGTTTCAATATATCAACTGTCTGGTTCTGATATGACCGTCAACACAGCCTGATAATTTCCGAGTCTCTTGCACTAAAGAACTTTCCTACCTACTGTGAGTAGATTTTTAAGCCTACTGTTCTAATCACTATCAGCAACGACAACACGATACCATCGATACGCGCGAAGGAAAAAAGAAAGAAGACAGACCGTTTTCAACGGGAGAGCTCTTACTGTCTCGAATCAACAGCATAAAGACTTGACAGGAATTCCACAAACATAGCTTTCAAGTGACCTTGAGAGACACTAATTCCATTGGTAGGACAAAACAGCCAACAACCAATAGAGTTCAGCCATCATAACGAGGGAAATACAAATATTGAGGCATGGTAAACAAAGGTAATAAATAGTTGTTTTGAGGCTTCGGAGAAAAATGATGTGTATGTAATACGGTTCTTTTTTACAATAAATAACATTATAAGTTTACTATTATTGTTTTTTTCTTAAAAAATATTTCAGATCGAAAAAAGTGGTGCTTATTTTCCAAACATTTTGAATGTGTCAATGTGCTTAATCGACTTTTTTAAAATTTACTCCAATGTAAGTTATTTATAAAATACATATTTATGATATTTGATAATATTTTTATTTTGTTGTTGTTGCTTTGCTTTGCTGAACAATTTTAGCTTATTTTTAGTAACAGAATCACTCAAACAGAGGTAGACAGTTGAAGGCTAATTTAGTTTCTAATTAATTTTTATATATTGACATTTTTGAAAGTTGTTGATTGACAGTGTGTTTTCTTCTTCTTCTAAGCTATCCATTTAACATAGTAAAAGACGTTTCTACAGACATAATCTGATCAAGGTGACAAGATTAATTCCCACAATGTACATTACTGCATGAAATGATTGGTGGTCGAATATAAGCAGAATCATATGTGTACTAGTAATTTGGTGGATGGTGGTGACTAGCAGTGGAATCCACGAGGCAAATTTCGGCCTACTTGGATCTCGTCACATCTGGATGTACTTGCATTCCCCAGTGAGTGATGGTGGTCACATTTAGATTCGTACCCATCTTTTCAAACTCCAAAGGTTTATCCACTAGACCACATTGGTTACGACAGCCACCTCTTGTGTGCAACGAGTATTGGTTATAATTTAATTCAGTTTTGATTTTCGCGTTTATTGATTGGACCAGTTGACGAGTTTCAAATAAGATGAAATGCGCATCCTCGATTCCACTTCTACTCACCATCCACCAAATTGCTTCAGGTTAGATCCTCAGGTGTTGTCGAAGCATCCACACAAGGAGATAGCATGTCAACAAAGACCATACACTGCGGTACAATCGGTCAACAGGAAAATCCAAGTTGCAATAAATGTTCTATTGTTAATGTCATCGTAATCAGAATATCAAAGTATCAAAGGAAATAATTACCATACACTTCCATTTGACGGACTGTAAGATAGAAACGTAATATAAGTGTATTCGGTTATGTTTACTTTTGATGAGTTGATCATGGATTGATATCAGTTAGGGAACCATTGAAAACCAGGTAGTACTGGACAGCTGTTTCATCCTAGTTTGGGAATCATCGGCAGTACTCATCCACTGGGGTTCGAACCCACTAAACAACCCTTTGCATGAATAATTCCTGTGCCACTAAATCTTTGAGGGTTAAATGCAGCTATTTTGGTATTTTTTCTATTATTCAACAATACTCCAAATGCCGATGTTTTATTCCATTTATGTTCCGAGTGGAACATAGAGGCTTCAAGCGTCAGCTATGAAGTTTCGGTAGCAGTGATGTTGTCCTTTTTTACGGGATGGGGTTGCTAGTCTGACGCCTGGCTTCTCCTGTTTACTGGGATTACTACTTGCTCAGCTAGGCTTAGTTGTGCGTCAGCCAGGAATCGCACCCTGGACCATGTGGGTGTTTGGCGGGTATTTTGCCGCTGAATCACTGACGCACTCCAAATGCTTATTTTCCTTTTTTTGAAGTAGATATTTACAATGTCTTTCGATTGTCCGTTTCATTTTGTTTAACACATTGTTGTATTCACAGAGAGACTAGTATTCGCATTTCTTTTTACCTATAACAAATTTCCTGTTCATACACACTTTTTTCTCGGAAATGATAATGAAGTCAAGTTGTGTTTTTTTCTTGATGATTCAGTTGCTTAGACAGTTACAAAACTCACCTACATTCCTTTGAGTGACTCTTATTGCACGTGGATTAGCGTTACTACTCAAGTGCGTCGGTGGCACAGTGGTTAGGACTCTCGCCGACCATGCACATGGTCCGGGGTTCGATCCCCTGCCGACGCACACCCGATATCTATGGTCGGCCTGAATTTGGGCTACCGATATCCATGCTGAAAATTCCATACTTGTACTGAAAATACGGTGTGGCATTAAGCTGTAATAAAAATAAAAATAATTAAAATAAAAAGTTCCCGAAGCTCGATTTGAACCCGCTGCCCATTTTCTGAAACTCTAGTGTTTAAAGTTAATGCGCCACATTTAAGCTACAACAATAATCTAGTGATTCTAAGCGTTTTACATACCAGGTGTGTTATGTTGTTATCATCTGAAGAGTTACAGAAAGATACGAATTCGAAAATGTGTGTGTATAGGTGCTTTAAGTTAGAGAAAACTCAATGTATACACAGCAGTTACTTTCTGTTATCAGTCATCCACTTTCGTTGTATGTTATCCTTCACTGTATGCGAGTTTATCAATCGAATTTTTTATTTCTTTAAAGTTCGACTCTTAAAAATCACTTCTTGTCTGAGTTTTCATATTACTCTACATGCCGGAGGCTTTTCCGCTTTTCTGACCATAAGATATCAGTGAATCTTTAGTCAACTAAAGGAGATTTTCCTCCAGACACGGTGCATCAGTTCCACATTGAATCCTGAGAATTGTTATATGACTAAATCCCTTTCAGTAGCACTGACTAAATTTATGTTTCATAAGTTTTATTCACACTTGCTTATGCGCATATTGTAAATTGATTGTAGCACGAGAAGATCGCGTTTTGTAGAGTTAATTTCCCTCATCGCCCCAATTAATCATGAACCAAAAATTGGCCAACATCGAAAAATTAATTTTGAATACTGTAGAGTTGTTTGCAGAGATTCATCCCATGATCCTGTCAACAGTTTTTCAGTTGTAACAATAATAAAGAGGTCTGTAAGTTGAAGTGTAAATGGTCAGTGATGGGAACCTCTTATCGATCAGATGACTCGGAATCACCAGTTCACCTGAATGTCAGCAATGAATGATATATGTGCAGCTTTTTATCTTTGTAGTCTTCTTTCATACGATTAGTATTAGAGGCTTAAACCAGGCTTTTCAGCGCAATTACTTGTGTTGAAAGTTATTAGTGTGTTCGCGCTCTTTGGGTGTCTGTTTTTTTCTTTAACTGGTTTATTGATTTTTAACTTAGTTACAGTGATTACCATTAAAGTATAAACTTGGAACACTATACGGTGTCAGAAGTACACCAAACAAGATTTCATATTTTTCGCCAGGGCAATGATACTGCCTCGACGCCAATTCCGAACCATGTGGTTGTCTTAAGGAGCCTTCCCACTGAGTCTTTATCTTGAAGTCTGAACCACATGGCAGTGGAGCATCGTCAGGAGCTAGGTTCCCCCTAGTTTCCGGTTACCAAAATAGATTCATATGCCAATCGATTCGTTCGGATCATGGAGCCCATGTACGACATAAGTTTGAAGTGACGGTTTTCCAACTCTCCTAGGTAGACCAGAATGTTCACCGGTCCAGTTGTAAGTGCCAGGCGTTCGAATTCGCCCACTCACTTTTCCGAGGAATACCCTCGTAGCAGTAAGGTAATGAATAAGACTTATCTGTCAGTGTCTATGAATATGTGGCTACATGAGAGCACTTTGAGGAAAAAATCGAAGTATACTCACCCTTAGCCGTACCAGGTCGTTTATGGGGACAGTTACAGTAAAATGGTGTAAAACATTGCGACTTTTTTACATTCCCAAAAATATTTACTTTTAATCACAGTTAGTTAATCTTTATTGAAAGCTTAATATTGCTTCATTTAATAAATCTTCGTTTTCATGGTGAATACTAGTTCCCCCTTCTTCCTTTTTTCTATTACGTCAATAAGTGTATAATAATTGAACCTTATACTAACTTTTGTATATCTCTTTATCCTGCTTTTCTATAGGTATGCCAACGTGCTGAAGTAGTGCCAGTTTTCTCTGTTGAAGCTGAATGGACTGATCCAGATAGTTTTGATGAAAAATCATCATTACATCTAACTAGTGGAATTCACAAGGATACTGAGAGTATTGATTCAACTGATTTAAATACAGCAGATAATTCACCTTCTGAATTTTTAATCAATGAAATGTCTTCAGAACGTTCATTTAAATCAGATGGTACATTTAATCGGAAATTTTCAGTACAGGATACTGTAAACCAACCAATTCCTCAGTTGTCTTCAGTTACCTCTTGGGAACAAGTTGTTATTGTTGCTTCAGCATTGTTGGTTTTTGGTCGACCTGAAAAATTGAATAAGTCGTCTAATCAACAAGCAAAAGATACAAAATTCTATTCTCCTTCAGATTTTTTCCCACCACAAGTATGTTCGGTTCTGTTGTCTGAGATGTATTCTAGTTTGGTATATACTTTTTCTTTTATCAAGGTTTCTTTCTCCTCATCTATTGATAATCTCAGTTGAACTATTGTGATAATGTTTTTAGAGGCTGTTTAATAGCGCACGACTGTTTTATGTAACTGACCTTATATAGGTGTTTAATGTTGTTACTAAATAGTTGGAGGTAATCGGCAAGAGGCCTTTGACCTAGGTTTTGTGCTTGTTGACACTCACCAATCAGCAAGATGTATCTTCACTTTTGAAGGAAATCATATCCCTTCTGAGATTTGAATCCCTGTCACCCAGTGTTGCAGTCAGAGACACATTACCAGTAAGCTATTGGGGTTGACGATCGACCTCCTGTAGGATTGTATCGGATACTTTGATTGGACACTAGGTAATTCCATATTAGTTTGTTTATTAGATATATCACACAGTGAAACAGTATTATTTACTGGATGACGTTTCGAACAAAATTTATTGTTCATAATCATATCAATTGTAATCACACGACTTTGGAACTTGAGTTTTATAGTTTTCTTTGTTTTCTCCTATTTGTCGTAGGGGTAGTAGAATTTTCCAGATATCCGGGTGGACAGGTGATGAATCATTCCTATTACATGTATTTGTAGTTGATTCGATAAACAAAGCTTCTGTTATCAATCTCTCCCTATACCCTGTGACATTAGATTTTAAAACTGTCATCCTATCCCATCCTATTGTATGGTTGTGTGTAGCTGCATGTAGTGCTACAGCTGAACCATTCTCTAGATTTCTTATCTTATTTGGATCAACCAATCTAGATTTTGCTAGGTTTTTATGTTCGGCTAGTCTGATAGCCCCTGTTCTACTAGTTTGACCCATGTATTTGACCTGACAATCATTCCAGCAGGGTATTAGATAAACTAAATTGTTTTGTTTTAAAGGCTCTACAGGATCCTTTAACCGACAAAGCTTGTTTCTAATTGAGTTTGTGGGTTTGTATGCCATTTTTATCCCTGTCTTGTTAAGAATTCTGCGTAAGGCTTCCGAGGTTCCTTCCTTGTATGGAATTACTACTGATGATTTAGATTCCTTATTGTTGGTGTCGTCATTAATATTATTATTATTATCATTATTATTGTTATTATCACTATCGCTACTATCATTATTTATTTTATTTTTACATTTCCTTACATATTTCCTGACTAATTTATCCGGGTAATTATTAAGTTTCAAGGCTTCTTTTATATGTATCAGTTCCTGTTTTAGATTTCCTTTGGTACTACTTAATTTTTGTGCTCTGTCATTTAAACATTTCACCAATCCAATTTTACTGACATAGGATGGAACGATCGGAAATCCAAATATCTGTTTGAGTGTGTGGGTTTCCTGTAAAAAAAAGAAAGCTATAAAACTCAAGTGTCAAAGTCGTGTGATTACAATTGATATGATTATGAACAATAAATTGTGTTCGAAACGTCATCCAGTAAATAATGCTGTTTCACTGTATGATACATCTAATAAACAAACTAATATGGAATTACTTACTACCACAGTGTCCAAGTTTTACACATATATTAATATGGACACTAGGTAGTAATTAATGTCATGCATCTAGTCCTTTGTTTGGTATAGACTAAATTCTGTCAGTCATGTTTGCAATGTGGCCCCACGCTAGGTGGTTCTATATCAAGGTGCACTCATAACTGCTGTTATTAGATGGTTGAAGGCAATCGGCTAGAACTCTTGGGCATGCACCAAAGAAAGGATTAGACTCATGATACTAGCTACTAACTAGTGTCTAATCAAGCATCTTATATATATATATATATATATATATATATATATATATATATATATATATCAGATTCGATGCTTATAATGATCATCAATCGCAAAAAAGAAACACTATCGCTTGTTCCAACTTGTTACGTACATGTCTATGTACTACTTACAAAATTCTGTAAAAATTTTCTTATATTTCAGTAAAGTTTAGTGTTGTATTGTTTAGTAGTGATAGGTATAACATTTATACAGTTGTAATCTAGGTATATGCACTTTTTCTCGATGAGTATTATTCACTTATTCTTATAAGTGTAGTGTGTTACTTTTCACAGCTTAAAACTATATGTATTCCTAAATTATCCTTAGAGAATTCATGTGTGTGAAATGGTTGTGTATATTGATTGATGTTTCATCTGTTTGTAACACCTACTCTACATGATTGGTGATCTTGATTAGACGATTTTTCAATGAAATGTTTTCTTTTGAGATAGATAGATAGGTAGATTGATTGATTGGTCGATCATATTCCTTGGGGCGTGATAGTCCAATTTGAAATAGAAAAAAACACAAACTAAAACGTATTTTGAATACTTAGCTTAAACATTCTACTTGAGTCATTCACGAAATCTACGTCATGAATACCTCTTAATTTCATTTGCATCACTGTGGATGTTATCTATTGTTATCACATCAATGATACAATTAGTAACTGGTAACGCTATGTCTGTTTACTCCTGTAACTCTATCCTAATTATTTTTACCTTTTTGTTTTCATTTTAACTGGAACATGAGTCTTCAAGCTTTGAAGTTCCAGTAGCAGTGGTATTGTTGTTTTATGCTGGCTAGCTGGATTTGACATAGAACTTGCCACCGAAGTGCAGCAGTTTGAGTTGCCACTTTCCAAATGGCACACAAAGGTAGACAAGAAGATGAGTGAAGAGAATCAATAGAGTTTTGACAAGTATAAGAGTGAAACAGAATGAGTAATGGTAGAAAGGAATATGAAAGATTACAGAGACTGAATACATCTGCGTAAGCCATTGACAACGATTTTGAGCCATGTCGCCTATTGTCTCCAGCTATTGATTCTTAGAGTCCCGAGGTCCCCAACCCGGAAGTCTGCATCTCCCTACCTGACTCAGTTTAACTGTCAAGGATTTCATGGATTGATGCCATGTTTTTGTTTGGCCACCACTTACTCTTTTCCAACCTGCACCTATATCAGCTAGTAATGCCCGTCGGGGGAGGCGATGGTTAGGCCTGCGCAGCACGTGACCTAGCCATCTCAATCTATGTAACTTTATGAGATGAGGTTGCTAACCTTCATCCCTAACCTTCTTTCATTTCTGGGTTTACTATTGTATAAGCTAAGTGTGTGAGTACATTGGTTGAGAATTGCGTCTCATAGCTGGCTAGCGAGCAATTTGTCATTGAACTACTGACGCCATTTTCTTTTGATAGTGTGTTCATTCGAAAACAACTGAAGACTAACAAGTGTATGCGATACTCTGAATTCCATTGTGGTTGATATGATAAAAGTTGATCCATTCTAGTAATTTTTTTTAGAGGTTTCTCAGTGTTTTCAAACAGTTTTACTAAGTCTGTTAGTTTCAAAAAGATATCTAATTCCTTAATTACAATAAGGACATAATGTATAGAGTCCATGTATGTTAGATTGTGTGTAAAACTGTTTCGAGAGAAATATTTATCAGGTGATTATTAATTTTTGAAAGCATATTATTTATTTAGATTTCGCTTTTGATTGATTGAACCGAAATATTCAACCTTTGTTTTGTTAAATTAAAAGTAAAATAATAACGGGCACCCGTTTCACAAGAGGTGGCTCTCGGGGCAATGTTAGCTGATATAGGGCCAGGTTGGAAAAGAGCTAGCGGCGGTCAAACCAAAACATGGAACCAGTCAGTGAAATCTACAACAGTTAGTCTAAGCCACGTAGGAAGGTGTAGACTTCCTGGTTGGGGTCATCGGGACGGTAAAAACCAATGGTTGGAAACAATTGGTGACATGACTCAAAATCGTTCTCAGTGGCGCAGATGCATCCACTCCTTGAGACTTATGATTTCCAATGAAACTGTTTTGTTCTTCGTTATTACTATACCTTTGTCTCACACCTCTGTTTACTGTCTATATTATTATGCATTTCTCGTACTTTCTTCTCTTGCTTTGTGTGCTACATTGAGTGTGGCGACTTGAACTGCCGCACATATGTGGAAAGTTTTATGTCGAAAACCGACCGACCGGCTCTCGGGGCCCATTTGGCTTTGTGGATTGCACTTTAGCGTTTGAAACGATGGATATTGGGTTCGAGCCTCACTGGGAACACTACCACTGACTGGGGAGTGCAGGTACACCTCCAGATGATGCATCCCAAATAAGGCGAAATGTGCATCGTGTATTCCACTGCTAGTCACCATCCACCAAGTTACACCTTAAAGCCAGCCTCGTTGAATAGTGTAAATAGAAACAACCAAAATTCATCATTGAATATAAGAACAACAAAGTTCAGCGAAAAGTCTCTTTTCGACGTCGAGTTCATTGACTCAGCCGTACAAAATTAGTTAGGGTTACTGTTAACTTCATCAAAATGTTTCTAAAATGTGATGAATAATCGAAATTGTAACTAGGGGGCTGAAGATTGTTAAGTATTGATAAGGGTTGCGTAATGTGAAATAGGATGTTAGTGGAGACACGTGTCCAAAAAATAAATTACGTAATAGGCAGAAAGAGTAAATAAAGGGTTGGTTAAGAAAAAGATGTTGCTAAGATGCCATGCAAAAATTCAAAAGACAAAAAAAGAAAACAAAACATTGATAACAAAGTTGCAGAACTTGAAATTATACTCAAGATAGAAGGTGGGGGTGGAGAAGTTTCTTCCGTGTGCATAAATCAGGGTTTTCTCTCCGGATCGCTAGGGCTTCGGCAGTGTAAAGTATACGGAAGCTTACTGTTTTCGGGAGGCTTCTTTTGACTTTGTAGATAACTTTGAATGAATTCTCCGTGCTCAGTTATAGCACTCCTTATTGATCCACTGTTACCTTTTCGTAACCAAGTGGGATAATGTTCTTTGACTCTTTTGGATAAAACACATTCAGTTTATGAATTTTGCTTTTCAATTTCCTTCATATGAAATACTTTAAAAGGATCTTTCCTGAACTGCTTAAGAAAGACTTTGTTTTGCTGCGTAGGGCACTAAAAGCTGTTAGTAGGGCAAGTGGGATTTCGTTAAACCAACTGGTTAACACCATTGTGGATAGACATATAATGTCATGTAAGAAACTAGCGAATTCTATATTCTCAAACCCCGAACACCCTCTCTATACTCAGCTCTCTCCTTGCATTTCATCTGGTAGAACTAGAAGCAACTATAGGAGGCTATATGCCAGGACTACCAAGTACAAAAACTCCACAATACCTTATCTGGCACAGCTGTTATGTGATGAGAAATCCGTTAGGTATGACACGATCAACTTACTGCGGCACTCTAACAAATAGTTCCCATTAGCTTTTGTTCTCCTTTCTGTGTTACTATTATATTGTTGTTCACATCTTTTATTACACACTAATTTTATATTTCATATCCTGTGATGCATTGTTTAAATATGTGAATGCAATGCTGTTCTTTTTTATTTCTTTTATTTATCTTTTTTCTTTTTGTTGTTGTTACTTTTTATTTTAAAATCTTATAAAATTAATGAGGTAATTAGATGCAATATAGTAATGCACGCTGAATATTCCATACCTGTACCACAAATACTGTTTGGAATAAAGCTATTATTATTATTATATTTTGTGTAATATGGATATTGTATGCATAAATATTTATGTTAAGAGTACACCATTTATTGAATGTATTAATTAATCAATAAATTGATTTTTTCTTTAGGATTTGTACATGTTACTCTCACCTAATGATCCCAACTGGATTAGTACTTCTGTTGGAAAAGATGTTGATGATAGTCTTATGATTAGACGGCGATTTTTTCTATCCTGGTTAATTGAAAGATGTGTTGCACGTCTTGCACTCTTACCTGTTTCACAATATTCCAATCAATCTATCATGGAGAATGATGATGATGAAATACCCTTAGATGACGACTGCATGAATAATCATACTTTTGGAGCTGTAGAAGTTTATCGCCGGTTTAGTTCTGCAGCTTTTACTCTAGCTCATCATTGGGATTTACCAAAAGACACAGTCACTATACAGCATGTAGTTTCTTTATTTGAGAAACATTTAGATGACCAGGCACTACTTGTAAGTTCTTTTTTCTTACTATTTTTCTCCATCAAGTTTCCTTTTCTTATAGTAGACGTGACTAAAAACATCATATCTTTACAAAGTAAAGATGAAATATGCACTTAAATAATGCGTAGTGACAGTTGCTTTGTTGATTTTCGCTCCCGGTGGAGTTCAGGATTTCTTCAGCTGGACATACACTGCATTCCTATAACTTAACGATTCCTAAATGGAACGAAATATCCGTCCATAATTCCACTTCTATCCACCACTAATCAAATAACATCAAGTTATTTTGGTTGATGGTGGCTAGCAGTGGAATTCAGGATGGGCGTTTCGTCCTAACCGGGACTCGTCGTTAGGATGTGCCTATTGCATTCCTGTTGAGTGATAGTCTTCCCACTGGGACTCGGACCCTGAACCCACCATTTTAGACGGCATAGCATTATGCACTTGGCTACAAGAGCTGTGTCTTTTGAAGCCGGTATCATGGTGGGTACAGTTTCAGTGGGAACGCCATCACTCAATGGGAAGTGCAGGTACATCCAGCTAACTAGTCACGAATAGAATGAACTGCACATCTTGGATTCTATTGCTAGTTACCTTCAACCGAAGTAACTTCCCGTCAATCCTTAGGCATCGCTGTAGCATGTCAAATCGATTGAACACAATCTGTCGACAGTAGATTCGAAATTAACCCTGAAAATCAACGAATTACCTCAAGTTTACCTACCTGAAGGCATCGACGTAGCGTCTCAGGTCGTAGGGCTGTTAAATTTTCTCTAAGTTAAAACTTAAGTGCAAGGTGTTCACCTGCAATCCAATTGAGAGAAAATGGATACGAGAATATCTTTTTTATACCCAAATTAGATTTGGGAGTAGCATAACATAATTCTCTTCATACATTTTTAATATATAAATGCAAACAAGACAGTTAATACTGCGAAGGGAGTAAACTCTGTTGCTATGGTAAGAAGAAGCATTAAAATTCGATATTTCGAATCAGATAAGTTTTCCAGAAGAAAAAAGTTATTTGAATGTTGAGTCTCGAATGTATGCAGTATTAAATTACTGTTCATCATTTTATTATCGAGGTTTTTTGACGGGGAGATTTTCAGTAACGATGGATACATTTTAAGGAGACTCTTTGAAAAGTATCACTTCGTGAAAATAAAAGAATTTCAGTACAATGTAAATGTCAGCTAAAAGCCTATTATGGCCTTGGATAGGTTGACTTTGATCTACCTCTCGAAGTGCGTTCAAAACCCCTCAGCCAGGTAAGTCCTGTTCACTGCCTTCACGAGGCGAAAGTGTTCCTCACAAAAGTGAAGAGGAGAATTCGAACGGTTGTCACTTACGACCGGACTGGTGGACATGCGCTGGTCTACCTGTGGTGTACACATGGGCTTCGTAGTGCGAAAAGATCGAATGGTGTATAGACCTGTTTTGGACACTGGGAACCAAGTGAACTCAACTCCACACTGTCTTATGGATAAGACTTGAAGTCAAAGCCTCAAGAAGTGGCCCTTTTAAGACAACCGTTTGTTTCTATCTTGGCGTCGGCGCAGTATCCTATCCTTTGTATAAACTTTGAGACTTTAAGTGGCGTATCTGATAGTAGTTATAATCATCAAAAATTCCCATTGTAACATATAGAAAATCAAAACAAATGATTCAGCGAAGAGACTCTTTTCAACGAATTTTTCATTAAGCTGTACAATCGCAGCAGCATATGCTGCTGCTGCTGGATTCAACATAGAACTTGTCACCGAGGTGCAGCACTTCGAGTTGCCACGTTCCAAATAGCACACAAAGGTAGACAAGAAGATGAGTGAAGAGAATCAACAGAGTTTTGATAAGTATAAGAGTGAAACAGAATGAGTAATGGTAGAAAGGAATATGAAAGATTACAGAGACTGAATACATCTGCGTAAGCCATTGACAACGATTTTGAGCCATGTCACCTATTGTCTCCAGCCATTGATTCTTAGAGTCCCGAGGGCCCCAACCCAGAAGTCTGCATCTTCCTACCTGACTCAGTTTAACTGTCAAGGATTTCATGGATTGATGCCATGTTTTTGTTTGGCCACCACTTACTCTTTTCCAACCTGCACCTATATCAGCTAGTAATGCCCGTCGGGGGAGACGATGGTTAGGCCTGCGCAGCACGTGGCCTAACCATCTCAATCTATGTAACTTCATAGCCTCGTCGATTGATTTTCCCTCTTTGCCCAACACTCTACGCCTAACGTCAACATTACTTACCTTGTTATACCACCTAACGCGAGAAAGGGATCGTAAACATCTGTGGTCAAAAACAGACAATCTCTTCATGTCTTCCGCTCTCAATGGCCATGTTTCAGAGTCATAGAGAAGGACGGAGCGAAGTGCTGAGCAGTATACACGTCCCTTGGTTGACAGTCGGATGTCACGCCTACGCCAGAGACGGTGTAAGTTAGCGAAAGCAGCCCGAGCTTTTTGGATCCGTGCTGAGATTTCGTCACCAATCAATACATTGGTGCTGATACAACTTCCTAAATAGGTGAAGTGGTCAACATGTTCTATCACTTCACTCCCTATCACTAAGCTAGGAGTTGACGTAGTCCAGTCCTGTAGCACACATCTTACATTTTGCAGGAGCGAATCGCATGCCAAACATACGAAGATTGCTGCTCAAGGTGTTCAGAAGACTCTGCATTTTGTCAGCGTCCTCCCCTAACAGGATTATGTCGTCTGCGTATTCTAAGTCTATAAGACTATTCCCTGGTAACAAGTCGATTCCTAAGTCGTTAAGTTCAGTTAAGGATACTTCCATTAGCATATCTATGATGAAGTTAAACAGAAAAGGGGAAAGTGGAAATCCTTGACGGACAACACTGGTTGTTATCAATTCAGATGACAATTCCCCATAAGCCCTTACACAGCTACGTGAGAGCAGCATATGCAGCATCACTTGTCGGAGATTCTAGCTGATAATGATGACTAGATTCACTTGGAAAAGTGCAAATGTATTAGGAGGTCTGCGTCAACTTAAAAATTGTAAAGAACATCATCTCGCTTATACTTATGGATATCCATTGTTGCATTTTTCTAAGTCTGTACATTTCCTATATACTGATTGATTAGTAAAACTTACTTTAAATAATTTTCTGCATTGTATTTATTTAGGCTTCAGTTATCGTGATATACACATATCACTTCATTAGCCAATATTTTCAATTTTTTCTCAAAATACATGTATTTTATTTTTGAATAGTTCTTGTCAAAAGTTCAAGATCCTACAAATTTGGCTGTCCGTTTGTTATTCATCATTGGTCGTCGTATAGCCTATCGGTGTTATGGTTCAGAGTACAATGCTAAACAAACATTACGTTTACGTGTATTTATCCCGCTGACAGTTGAATCATGGCTTCGTGGTTTATTACCTGTAAGTAAAATGAAAATACTTTTTTTTCTTCTGTGCTTTGAAGTTTCTCTAGCGATTCGGTTGATTTTCCTGAAGAGAGGGTCGCTAGTCGCACGCCTAGCCTTCCTTCTGTTTCTGGGCTTAGTTAGAACCGGCTAGTAACCACTGAGTGACATCGCTCGAGTGGAATCCCAATGAGAAACGAAGAGTGTTGAGTATGGTTCCGAGGGTAACATGCAGGAGATCGTGGTAGGTGGAGATGAAAGCTTTTGGGCAGTCGTGGAGTCAAAGATGAGAAGGACTGTAAAGAACAGGGTGAAATGGTGATTGAGACTGAAGTCCTATGTTTCACTCGGAATCTAAGAGAATCAGAATAATGAAAATATTTGTTTCAACCTAGACCAAGGATTGGTTTCAGTTAGAGGACCACTGAAAACCAGGGAGTACTGGACAGCTGTTTCATCCTAATTTGGGACTAATCAACAGAGTCCCTACAAACCAACTATTGAAAATTAATCTGATGTTCGCTAGTGACTGACTACTGGACGAAGTTGCCTGAAGTTCTAGTGAGAAGTTGTGACCAATGAGCCATCCAGTTGGGAGTGTGGATGGATTTCCCGCCGATGACATTGGCTGGTGGTCGCGCTAAATCACGAATTGGTATAAGTTAGAATTCATGGGTCATCGAATTGGGTCCCAGTGGTTTAGTGGTATACGAGCCAGCTTGCCTTGTAACCTGAAGGTCCTGAGTTCGAACCCTGTCAATGGGTGCGGTCTGCCGATGATTCCCAAACTAGGATGAAACAGCTGTGTGGCAGTACTCCAGTGCTGGTTTTCAATGGTTCTCTAACTAGTATCAATCTGTGTTCTAACCTGAAACAAATAGAATCCCTATAAACCAATCCTTGAAAGTGAAAATATTGGTTGTTTTCTTTTTGATGCTGTTAACATATTTCACATCAATATTTTTCTTCCATATTTTCCTCTTAGGTCACAGATTCAACCAGTAGTGAGTCAGAATATCGTCAGAATCCTTTTCAACCGACTTCTGAAGCTACTGACTTGGAGAAATTACCCTTTCTTATCGATTATGTAATAGAACATCTCCCACGCCATACTGGTCAACTATCAATAGCCATGGAACTACGCGATATTTTTCAAGCTATTGTACAGTCAGATACTATTTAATACTTTTAAAGTGAAGAACATCTGTGCGTTTTCTTTTTATCGTTTTTATGTATTACGTCTGATGTGTGTTATACTCAACTTTCCGATTTGATGCACACACTAGTTCTGTTTTGTTTTTGTCAATAGTTTGATAAGCATAAGCGCGCTAATATTTACAAATTTAAAACTTGATTACATATCAATTTAACAGAGAAATAAATCACCTTGCATTCACTATCATGCCTAAGGCGTAATTGTTTTTCCCTTTTCCTCTTTCTGTCTGTCTGCCTGTTAGTCTATAGATCTGACTACTTACTTATTTTATGGTTCAGTTTTATATCCTGAAAACTTATGCTTCCTTTATGCTTATTTTTGTGCAGAGTGTTCAAATTGATAAACTGTAGAACTTTCTATGTGTATAACGTGAAATTGTCTCTAGTATTACAAGGTTCCTTGTATTATTATTCATCGTTGTACTGTTGATAATCTCTTTCCTTAGAGTTCATCTCTCTAAGTCTTTTTATGCGTTCTTCTTGTCAAGAAATAGAAAAAAAGTGATGCCTCAATTTTGACCAGTATTTTTTAAGACATTAGTGATAAATATATTGAAATACAACCCTATATATTTTTTTCTTGAAACCAACCGTTATTTTATCTGTGTTTAATGCGAATTATCATCGTGGAAGAAGAAACTGTATCAATCATGATGTGTGTGTTGGGGTTTTTCATCAACATCTTCATCATTTTTTCATTTTGTAACGATTAGGGAGAATAGTTTTCTTTCAAGGGTTAGTTTGTAACAATCTGATTGGCTTCAAGTGTGATTTTGGTTAGAGAACCGTTGAAAACCAGGGAGTACTAGGCAGCTGTTTCGTCCTAGTTTGGGACTCTTCAACAGTGCGCACCCATGACCCCACCGGATATTCAACCCAGAAGTTGGAATGGAGTTCTTGAAGGTCCTGGATTCGATCTTTGATGGTGTCATGGGTGCGTACTGCTGAGGAGTCCCGATTTGATCAGTATTATTGTGTATAACATTTCAAACTCATACTTGATCTGTTTTCCATAGAAATAGTATACATACCTATTGGGTATTCCCTATTCCCCCAAGTGGTTAATTACCTTTTTACATGGTTAATTAGTCAAATGTAATGAATTTTCTGAAGCGTAATTCTTGATTTGACATCAGCTCAGCAGCGATACGAGACCCGTGTATCGGTGGATTACTATACATTGGTTTTCTTTAGGAGTGTGTCCACTTGAACTGAATACTGAATCTCTCATTAACCTGATACATGACCTTTACCTCCTATGACCATTTCGTATTGATTGATAAAGTATATTACAGTTCCATGAAAACCAGTCACAACGAAAGTTATCAGGAGAGTTAAAGATTTTGCTCATGGAGAATTGCTAAATTCCACTTCACTGTGAAGTTACCGCTGAAGCGATACTCTCCAGAAGGACATTGGAAGTTCCACAACTAAACCATTTAGCTCAGGGAATACAACAACACAAAAAACAAGTGGTGTTCTTCTATAAGAGTTAAATTTCTTCAATCACTTTTGGGAGAATGGAAGTTGGCATCCTTTATCCCATAAAAATATGGAACATACGCTGAGGAGACCGTTGGGTGACAACGCTTCAGGCCCTCGAGTGGAACGCCAATGGGAGACGATGAGTCGGGCGTGAGTCCGAGTTTGGCATAGATGCAATCATGTGAGGAGGATTTAAAAGCTTCCAGGCAGTTGAAAAGAACTGCAGAGAATAGGATAAAAAGGCGATGTGCTGTTGTAGCCGTATGTTTCACTCAAAACTCAAGGGAATAATAATAATAATAGTAATCTTGTAAAAACGAGAATACCGATAACATTACATTAGGACTGTTCCTTTAAAAACAATTTCCTCTCACCAGCCATTTCAGTTACTGTCTCATCCTTATATGACTACTCCTCGGTAAATATTCAGAGTAAACGTATTTCAAAGTGGTGGTGAGTGCAAACTTGTATATATGAAAGCTATTAGTGATAGTTTGCACAAAAGGATTACATGACCATGTAGTTTCTTTTGAAAATACCTTTAACCATCGTCTAGTTAACTAGCTTGCTACTTTTCTAGCTAGTCCCAAGCGCGGGTAAAGAGGGCATGGAGCTAGCAACCCTACGCCACTAAACCTATCAACTTCAACGCACAGTTAAATATATTAACCACATTACAGTGAATCATTAAATACAATACACAGTAGAGAAGAGAATATGGAAGAATTCAAGTTTTAAAATTGATTGAAGATGTCCATTGAAAGTTTTAAAAGACGCATTAGTGAATAGAGAATATTATTTTCGAAAAGAATATTCTTTGTTCACTAATCAGTCTACTAAAAATGTCTTTAACGCTAAAATTTCATTAATGGCGGGTATTGATCAATGCTTAATGCTTAAGTGTCAATCAGTTCACGTGATGTTATGTTTGTTTTCGGCTGAAAGTATCTTTAAACGATTAAAAAACTTAAAACTATAAGTTACCCTGAACTGGGATACATCTATTCCATTATATTTGAATAGCCTACATATTATCCTCCGTTAATGAAATAATTAACATGTTTGAAGACCTGTCTATTTTGGTGCGTCTTCATAAACAGTTTTTCAATCAAAATTACATGATAAGCATAAAACACCTATCAGTCTTTTGAAATTAACATATGACGCGTGCAATTAGGGGTCTTACTTTAAAACGTCGCTATGACTTACATGCTATAATTGGATTGATAGTATTGGCTTTCGATGTTTATACTTTGAGTAGTTGAAATCTGAGTATCTTATAGCCATTTTGACATTGATGATAGAAATTATGGATTGGGATACATACTCTCGTTAAACGACACTAGCCGTCTCTGGCGTAGACGCGATATCCGACTATCGACCAAAGGGCGTGTGTACTGCTCAACAGTCCACTCCGTCCTCCTTTATGGCTGTGAGACCTGGCCATTGAGAGCAGAAGACATGAAAAGATTAGCTGTGTTCGATCATAGGTGTCTGCGTTCTATCTCCCGCGTGAAGTGGTATAATAAGGTGAGCAATATTGAGGTTAGGCGTCGAGTGCTGGGTAAGGCGGGGAAATCAGTCGACGAGACTGTGAAATTACATCGACTGAGATGGTTGGGACATGTGCTATGTATGCCTAGTCATCGTCTTCCTCGACGGGCAATGTTAACTGATATAGGGCCAGGCTGGAAAAGAGCTAGTGGTGGTCAAACGAAAACATGGCACCAGTCGATGAAATCTCCTACAGTTAGTCTAAGCCAAGTGGGAAGGTGTAGACTTCCTGACTGGTTGGGGTCCTCGGGATGGTAAAAACCAATGGTTATAAACAATTGGTGACATGGCTCAAACTCATCGTTCTCAGTGGCGCAGATGCATCCACTCCTTGTGACTTATGATTTCCAATGAAACTGTTTTGTTCTTCGTTATTACTATTCCTTTGTCTCACACCTCTGTTTACTGTCTATATTATTAGTATTTCTCCTACTTTCTTCTCTTGCTTTGTGTGCTAAATGGAGTGTGGCGACTAGAACTGCCGCACATATGTGCAAAGTTCTATGTCAGAAACCGACCGACATTAGTCGTTTAAATGACAACTTATTACTTTTATTTGTTTATGATTAGGCTTCGGCCACAACCTATTTTAAGTAGTGAATTATGATTCTAAACCGACCATGCCCAATTAGTGTTTTTAATATTCGAATACACCATTGTTATTCTTAGAAGTTACTTAAGGTAATTTGTCGCGTATAGCAGCCTTTATACTTCCAGGTGAATTTTGGTTTCATAGATTTAATCACGCTTAACTAGTCAATTCTCATACATGCTAGTCATGGTAGGCAGCTGTTAACATGCGTTATCTTCCTATTGACATCTGTCACCTTTGTACTTTATACGCTGGCTTTGTCCGATATTCAATCAATAGGTGTTGTATAAGTGGAAGAGAGGAGTGACTTCAAACTCAAAGCGGTTTTCACTAACCGATGACACTGTTACTTCAACGCTTACGCCATACTTGAACTAAATGTTGGGTTGACAAAGGTACATTTTATTCTTTTTGATATAAATAACCCAGTGATGGTATTATTTCCTGCCTGTTTTTGATAATTCTAATAGCTGAATGTAAGAGCTACGAATCTACTGACTGCCTAAACACAGTCAATGGATTATTGACTCTTAAGCTTGAAAATAGTAACTGCAATTTATTTTTCATCATGATAACAAAATGATGTTATTGTATCATTATTACCATTATAGTTGTTCCGTAAAATAAATCATACTTTTATCGGCCTTGTGATGAAATCATCCTGTTCCTCTTTGTCTGTCACTTGTTGAAAATGATAAGGTATTTTTAGTATTTTATACGAAAACTTATGATGTATAAGATTCTTTTAGCAGGTCGATTGGGAAGAATTAGGAAATAGAATATCAGTATGCTAATGAGGTGGTTTAAATTATAAGCTTGACATGTGGTACAAACTCGTACCGAAGTCCCATCTATGCTGTATAAACCATCTCATGCTTAATACGCATATGGGTGTCTGACTCTTCAGAAGCTAACCGGATTAATTAGTGAGTATTTCGGAAACTACGCTCCAAGTGGCTGAATGGTTAACGAGCTTGGTCTTGTAACCTGAAGGTCCATAGCTCAATCCCTGGTGGGTTCCTGGGTGTGCACGATTGAAGCGTCTTAAACTAGGGTAGACGAACTTTGGCTTTCCAATATATCCACATTCTAATGAAGTATAAGATACTGAAAGGGAGAATTCGTCATTTCTGCACGTTTGAAGTACTCACTTCGTTGAATATTGGTGGTATACTGATTTTTTCCCACTCAGTCCGTTTCAGAGCCCACCTGTAATTTCTTGGCTAAGATTATATGAATATTCATAATACGTTAAATTGTACGTGGAAGTGTTTATTTATTCTTCTGCCTAAACAACCAACATTTACACTGTTGTATACTACAAATTCATTTGCAATCTTATTTATCCGTCAAGAGGTTCGCTTTTATCAATCAACCG